TAGGTTAAGCGTTAGGGTTAGGGTTAGGTTAAGGGTTAGCGTTAGGTTAAGGGTTAGGTTTAGGGTTAGGTTTAGGGTTAGGTTTAGGGGGGTTAGGGTAAGTTTTTCGCTTTAATTTTAAATTTACCGCTCACAGCGCGATGTTTTCATCGCGCTGTGATGATGTCACGTACGCGCTTTCGTCGAGCGCACTTTATTCTACCGCAGTTTTGTGGTGGAACCCTTTCTTCTCCCAGAATACACCTACAGATCATTAGAGGAGGGCAGGGCTCTCTGTTTTACTGTCTATATTTAAAATTCTTTGCCTTATTGTTAATTTAGCTTGATCCAACCCTAACGGACTCAAACTTTCTCTTTGGCCTTTTCCCAACCCATTGTGTGTCTGTTCTTGCCAAATTCTGTTATTACACAGTAATCTCTTCTCTTAGCAGTTGCCAAATAGAGCTTTTACTGCTTCCCATAGCTCAGAGCAGTGCTTTTCAAACTTGGCAACTTTAAGTGTGCTGGCTGGGGAATTCTGGGAATTGAAGTCCACGCAGCTAAAAAATTGCCAAGGTTGAGAAATACTGGCTTGGAGCCTTGCCATATCTAAACATGATCCTGCATTGCACCTTTAGTTAATTGGAGTGTTTGGAGTTTAAAGGATAATAGACATATCTGCAATTGTAATTATATTGATTCCAAAATTGACACCATGGAGTAAAACTAGAGCTTAAAACTGATTTTCTAAAAAAAACCTGTATGAAAGATTAATGGGATAATAAAATGAGTTTTTATAAGTTTTATCTTAATAATTTCTTTTTTGCCACCCACTGGCTGTATTTACAATTACAGCATCTGCTGACATTTTAACTTGGAACAGATGCTTTAGAAACATCTAATTAGTATAAGTGGTCACTAAAACCTATGAGACTAAAAAGCCTGCCCTTAGTTTTTATAAATACTCACAATAAATAAATCAGCTTGACATGTAACTTTTAAAGAAGGTATAGAGCAAAGAATTGGAGCTCTCTTTTTCTTAAACAATAAAGAATTGTCTTAACATTTGTATCAAAAATTCCAAAAGATCCTTGACTACAGCTTTTTAAAAAAAATACTATTTTGGACTTATTGAACTATTTTTATTCCTTTATTCAGTTTCTTGGCCAGACTGCAGCATAAATATGAGAGGACAATGAGTATTTCATTTCTCTTGGGGAAATTCATTCTCGGACTTGTTTGTTTGATCTGTAACCCACTTTTTCTCCAGAAACTGAATGCAGCTTACATAGGGCCAGGGGTGAAATCCAGCAAGTTCTGACAGGTTCTGGAGAATTGGTAGCAGAAATTTTGAGTAGTTCAGAGAACCGACAATGCCACCTCTGGCTGGCCCCAGAGTGGGGTGGGAATGGAAATTTTGCAGTATCTTTCTCCTGGAGTGGGGTGGGAATGGAGATTTTGCAGTATCCTTCCCATGCCTCGACCACCAAGCCACACCCACAGAACCAGTAATAAAAAAAAATTGAATTTCACCACTGCATAGGGCTTGTCTTCTATTTCGTCCCCCATACTACACACCTGTGAGACAGGTTGGTCTGAGCAATAACATAGGACTTATTACATAATAAAATCCCATAGATGAGATTAAGTAGCCTTTGAACATATTTCAAGGTAAATGTCAACCAGAACATATGAAGGGAGGTTCGAGAATAGTAATTTTATATCCCTTTTATACAACTGCTGTGCCTTGATTGTGAGACTTGGACAAGTTTAGCTTTATTTATTCATTGACATACAAGCTACTTTTCTCCCAAAGCGACTTTCTTTTCATGTAATCTTCACAAAATACACCCTGGACCGTTCAAAGTCATTCAGTGAGGTTCTGAGGACAGATTTGAACTTGATAATTTTCAAGTCTGGCCTGATATCAGAATCACTTGTGTCCAGCAGAGGTGGGTTCCTACCAGTTCAGACTGGTTCGGCCGAGTAGGTAGTAACTCGGCTGCCCATGAACCTGAACCGGTTCTATTGTTGGCAGCACCATCTTGATTTTTGGTTCTGCGCATGCGCAGAAAAATTTCCATTGCAGAAATTTATTTTTTCCATGCGCAGATCTTTTTAGGTGTAAAGGCGCACATGTGAGGAGTGCACGTTTGGCGTGCGCGAGAGCAAAATGAGCAGGCACAAGCAAAACATTTTGTGCACCAAACCAGTAGCAATGCCGGTAGCAACTCTGGTGTCCAGGCTGACTCTCTATATACCAATGTGAGTCTATGTATACTAGGATAGCAGTCACAATGGTAGTCTCCATTGGTCTGATTCTGAAGGGCTTTCCCATGACCTTCTAATGCCCTGATTGAAAAATGATGTTTTCCTCCCCTCTCCAATAATATGCTATTTTTTACCTCGGGGAAACAGCAACCTGGGCTAGTCGGATGTTTTAAGACAACAACTCCATAAACCCCGACCAGCAGAGATTATGGCTATTGTTATCAAAAGCATCTCGAAAATAACCAGTTATAAGAGAGCCAGTTTGATTTAGTGCTTCAGGCACCGTGCTACAAACTGGGAGACCGTGAGTTCTAGTCCCACTTAGGCATGACTTTGGATCAGTCACTCTCTCTCAGCCCAAGACACCTCACAGTGTTGTTGTTGTAGGGAAAGCAGGAGAAGGAGGAGGGTGTGTTGGATATGTTCACCACCTGGAGTTATTAGTAAAAATCACAATGCAAATAAATAAATAAGTAAGTAAATAAATAAATACTCCTGCTAGAAGAAAAAAAACTTTTTGAATCAACTGTAATGATACCCAAAGAATGTCAGATACTTTATATATACAAAGGACACACACACACACACACACACACACACACACACACAAACACACTCTGTCCTTTGTCAGCTAGTTTTTCAGCACACTCATTATCAGTATACAGTAAAAGGGTATGTTACATGGCTTATATATTGGTTTCTCTTCTTGTTTTTCTGAAATGTCACTATGCTTCAATCTGTCTGAATCTCCCGTCTTGCCCAAGTGGATCCAACAGAAGATACTGATTTACCCCTAATTTTTAGTAAGGCCTATTTTTTTTTTAAAAAAAAACTTGCTTGGCAGTTTTGAGGCCCTATTTTATCTGCTGATTGAAACAGGATACATTCACCATCTTTCTCTGAGTAGAGGTAGAAGGTTGCTTTAGTTTAGAGTTTTGTAACAGCACCATAATCCTTCAAACGATTTTTGTATGCAACACACTTTATTTATTGAGATCAAATAATTATACCACCATATTAATTTATTCACGGAGCAGCCGTACATTGGTTACAACAATCATATAACTGACTACGTTGCTTTATGCTAAATGATGCTTTGAACATGTACAGGTTATACAATTATATTATAGACAGAAACACTTTTGTTTAGAAATACAGATATTCCGGTTTTATGGTATATTCTCTATAGGCTGCAAATAGAATAAGAAAAAATGAGCCTTGTTTATGTACAGACTCTAGTGTGTATGCAAAATTGGCAGTTCTTAATTGTTTCTTACTCCAGGTATGAGCTGCTCAGTCTGATAAATGTATGGCAAGATCCCCTTATTCCTTCAGTGCCACAATCACTGAACAGAGATACACATCTAAACTATGGAATCCTTAATTCTCTCTGAGCTTGGTTGTTTCCTTGCAGACGTTTCATTACCCAGCTAGGTAACATCACCAGTGCTAGAAGGAAGTGGAATTTGCTTTCACTTTATATACAAGTGGCATCTAGACTGGTTGGCTAACAACCAGTTCAATTTGTAAGATAGCTTCCTTCAAAAAACAGTAAAGGACCTATCTCACAACAATAAAGGCAAAGTTCAGTCTGCTTTATGATAGATGTATTTTTAGCACTGGAACTCCATGTTACTTATCTGGGATCTTATCTGGAACAGAGAGAAGAATAAAGCTTAGTGAGATTTAGCAAAAGTTTGATTCTCTTCTCTTGCCATTGATTCTGATCTCTTTCATTCAATTGTTGGAAAGAATGTTTTCCCTTGTAATTATTATATATAGTTTGAGACCAACTGGATCTCTAAGTTAATCATGCTCCCTGCTTAGACATGGCTGTGTCTTTTTCATTGTTAAAATTCTACTTCTGACACTGTTTTTTATTTAGAGGTAGCACCAAATTCAGAAGTCGAGAAAGAAAAAAATTCCTCAACAGTGATGACAAGATAGGACAAACTTTTCTGTAATGTTTTGCAATAGCTGTATTGTGTAGTTGTGTCAGTATCTGCACCTCTGTTATCCTAATAAAATAAATAAATACCTTTGTAAAGATGTAAACACAGTTACTTGGTCCTTATATTATATCCATATGGAATCACACAGCTTCAACATAAATATGGCTCTAGGAACAAATACTGAACTTAATAGGCAGAAAACAGTTGAACAGTTATATATTTCAAAATTTCCTTTCAAGGAAAAATATTTTTGTTAGATACACAATTCAGATTTTGGGTAATTGATCCAACTTTACAGAATAAATAAATTAGTCATATATACATTATCTAAAATGTTATATTAACAAAACAATTAAATACGAATGGAGAAAAGTTCCATGTTCACAGTTATAATATTCAGTTGTGAAAAGTATGTGGTTTCATGCAGCTACACACCCGACTAACATTCTAATGAAGAAGAATATCAAATAAATATTTTAACCCGTAAAAAATATTGAATTGTATAAACTAGCAGTCAGTTAGCAATGGAGAAAATATAGGAGATATAATGCATGCTTTGTCCTACACAGAGTAATCTTCAGAAATCATAGGAAACTTATCTTGCCTCATCATAATGCAGAAGAAAAGCTAATGCTAATTCAATTATATTATGCATATTTTAACCTACAGACTGAAGGCTACAAAACATTCTAACCATACATGTACAAAACTACTGTAAGGGTATTTATACCATACGTATAACAATTAGTTACTTCATTTCACCACTGTGATGAACGCATCATCATCATCATCATCATCATCACTGTTGTCACTATCACCATCATCATCACCATCATCATCATCTACTGGGGGGAACTTCATCATTCACAAACAAACAAGAGCCACAACCCACCTCCAGCAGTTCATATTCACAGACCTTGGATTAGTTGAAACTCGTCGTCACATTAATCTACAAACACTCAGAAATGTGCTATCATCACCATGTTTGAGCTTTCTACAAATGATCAGCGTTAAGGGCTCTCCGAACTCTGCAGTGGCTACATTTGATTAGTAAATGAAGTTGGGCCACTCTGTTGTTGCTGGCCAAATTCATCAACTTGGCCATAATTAGTTTGTTGCCCAAAATTGCCTTCCTGTTGGTTATACCCACCACTCGACCCATAGCTATCTTGATTGTAGCCACCTTGGTTATAGCTGCTGGACTGTTTCTCGAGGGTCTCTTGAGGATATCTTGAACCCGAAGAATGCCAACCAGTCTCCTTAAAAACAAACCAGATATTTCCTGCCCAGAGAATAAAGTTCAAGAATCCAAAGACCTAAACAAAAACCAAGCAAGACATTAAATTTCATTTAGGTTTCTCTCTCTCTCTCCCTCTCTCTCCCTCTCCCTCCCTCTTGATTATTCACATGATTGTGATTCTTCTTTAAAAAAATGTCTAAAGCCAACTTATTAATTCAAGGTTATTTTTGCCCAGAGAACCTTCCAAAGATGTGGTTAAAGCAAATATTAATCTGTCACTCCTGTAGTAAGGTAGAGATAGAAAATATAAATGAAATGAAAATATAAATGGAAAACAGTTTACAGCTTTCATTTAGTAAGCGAGCTACAAAAAACTAATTGAAAGAAGAGTTTTATTCTTTGATGTTGGATCTGTGGCTTCACGATGTTGTTACCAGAGGCAGTCAATCATCTATTTGTTTCCTAAAGTAATGTTTTTTTGGAGTGCCATAATATTAGCTATTTATGAACTCATATGATTAAAAGACCTTTTTCCTCCAAATTCTCCATAATATCTAATGAAATTAATTTCATATTCATATATATATTCATACAACTAGGATAAATACACTTTGATTGTTAAATACAACCAGAATGCTCAATTATTATCTTTTTAAATGCTCCTAATTGCTTACACTATGTGTATTTAAAGAATCAGTGGCACATGCCATTATTATCTTACACTCATGCTGTTATTATCTTATTATCCTTTGAAGAATCAATGAATTAGGTTAAATATGGTGGATTCCAACTGAAGGGTGAGAAAAGATAAATGCTGAGTGATTCTGTAGGGCACCTATCGTTTTATTTCAGACCCCTCATTTTTTTTACCAAATAAAAGGAATACTCACAACTGAAGTATTAAGACTTGACATAACAGGGCTGTACACAGGCAAGCATTTGTTGGATTGTTGTTTGCAAGCTGACATCAGTAAGAGGACTTCATCTGGGTCAGTGGCAATCTTGACATCAGACAGACCTTTAGCCCAAGCAGAAGAACCCACAAACCACATGAAGGAGAACACCACTGTCACAACGAAATCCTACAAAACCCAAATCGAACATTGCAAGTTCATGTTTGATAGTAAAAGGTCAGAAGGATAGAATAATCTCAGAATGCATTTGTATTTTCCTACTTATAAAAGTTGTACATGATGTGGAAGCACAATAGTTCAATTCTCAGCTCAACAATTTTCAGGAAAAAAAAAGGATGTTATTTGTCAGATGGTTATAAACAATCTCATAGTCTCATAGAAGATCAGTCAAGAGAAGTGATGGGTGGAAACAACCTCTCCCGCTCAAAAGTGATGGACTTTTAGCCTGTACATGACATGGATGGGGTAAAGAGATACAAGAATTTTAATTTCAATATGACTAAAAATAGGCCTTGCATGTGATACCAAGCAGACTTCTTCGGCTTTCTTCCTCTTTTACCACTTCCGGTGTTGGGGGAGATACAGGTTTTGGTTCTTGCACTTCTGGCAGCCTCAACCATTGTTAATTGATATTTCTTGTAGTAGTAGTATGTCTTTGATGTTGTC